CATTATTTGCACTTACACACTGATTGCCAACAAAACACAGAAACTTGATGCAGTTTTACTTACCGCCTGTGGTTCCGACTCATGACTGGGATCTTTTATCGCTGGGACCGCTCCATCTTTCAGTATCAAATGATCTGCAAATCCAGCGTTGAACAGGGCCTTGTTTATAAAACATTCATCACTGAAATGACGTCAGTATGAATCTCGTCAGTAAAGCCGCTTCTGGTGATTAGTAGTAAATCTCCAGCACGTGCTTTCAGATGGAGCGGCATTTACTACACAGAGCCGTAGATCACTGACAAGCTACATAAAATCGCGTTCAAAATCGCAGGCATTTCATTGCCGATTTTGAACGCGATTTTGTGTAGCTTGTCAGTGAACTACGGCTCTGTGTAGTAAATGCCGCTCCATCTGAAAGCACGTGCTGGAGATTTACTACTAACCACTTGAAGCGGCTTTACTGACGAGATGCGCATGAAAATCGCATTCGATTTTTTGCACAGCCCTACATGCGCAACTTCGTTGCTGCCCCGGAAAAACAAACTGCATCCACTGTTCACGTAACCCTGTGTTCTTTGGGAAGCTGAACAAGGTTATCTTTCCCTCACATCCAAAAACACACTTCTTTGAAGACATTCTTCTCGAGCAAGTCCTGTGCAGTGCTGCCGACGACTTCCGTAACCCAAATGAAGCACGATGATGGGCTGCTCTTGCTCTCGCTCTGATTGATGTGTGCGCGCACTCTTCCGGGAGAAGTGCCCACTCAAGGAATTCCACCCTTCATGACGTCATGACTTTACTCAAAAAAAACTTACCAAAACTTGTACGAACCCTGAAGGAGTGTATTTGGCACAGAAATACTCTGACAAACGTCCAACTTGTTTTTTGAAATTGTGGCCATGTTTAGCATGAGAATTCAACTCTTTAACGGTGTAAATAACTCAGAATGCATGATATAGCATTAGCCCCCCTCCCCCACCCCCTTAAACATTTGTGGGGAAAAGTGTCTTCTGATTCAGAGGATGACTTCAGTACAAATAATCAACTTCATGTTACACTTCATGAAAGGTATGAATCTGTGTTCACAGACCATCACAAATGCTGTTATTACGGTTCCTGCTTACTTCAATGACTCTCAGCGCCAGGCCACAAAGGATGCTGGGACTATCTCTGGCCTCAATGTTCTACGAATTATCAATGAGCCGACTGCTGCTGCAATTGCCTATGGACTGGACAAGAAAGTAAGAGTGTTACTTTTACTATAAAACAATTTTAGAGCAGTAATTGTTGAACACAACTGATTTATTTGTCTGGTACCAGGTCGGTTCTGAAAGAAACGTCCTGATCTTCGATCTTGGTGGTGGCACTTTTGATGTGTCCATCCTTACCATTGAGGATGGCATCTTTGAGGTCAAGTCTACAGCCGGAGACACTCACCTTGGTGGAGAAGACTTTGACAATCGCATGGTCAACCATTTCATCTCGGAGTTCAAGCGCAAGTACAAAAAGGACATCAGTGACAACAAGAGGGCCGTCCGTCGGCTGCACACAGCGTGCGAGAGGGCGAAACGCACTTTGTCCTCCAGTACTCAGGCCAGCATTGAAATCGACTCTCTTTATGAGGGAATCGATTTCTACACTTCAATCACAAGGGCTCGTTTTGAAGAGCTCAATGCCGATCTCTTCCGTGGCACGTTGGATCCGGTCGAGAAATCCCTTCGTGATGCTAAACTGGACAAGTCTCAGGTTCATGACATTGTCCTTGTTGGAGGATCCACCCGTATCCCAAAGATCCAAAAGCTGCTGCAGGACTTCTTCAATGGGAAGGAACTGAACAAGAGCATCAATCCGGATGAGGCTGTCGCATATGGAGCAGGTAATCAAAATGGACATCATTCTGATTGTCCTATTCTTCCCTGAATGTCCTATTAGAGACATATTTCCTTTATATAGCTGTCCAGGCAGCCATTTTGTCTGGAGACAAGTCTGAGAATGTCCAAGACCTGTTGCTTCTGGATGTTACTCCTCTGTCCTTGGGAATTGAGACTGCTGGTGGCGTTATGACCATCCTGATCAAACGTAACACTACCATCCCAACCAAACAAACACAGACCTTCACCACCTACTCCGACAACCAGCCTGGTGTCCTCATTCAGGTGAGCAGATGATCTGTGTGCCCTTTTTTTTTTGTCTTTGTCCATGGCAAAGTTTCACGGTTATTGCATTCTACTAGGTGTATGAGGGTGAAAGAGCCATGACTAAGGACAATAACTTGCTGGGAAAGTTTGAGCTGACGGGTATCCCTCCTGCTCCGCGTGGCGTTCCCCAGATTGAAGTAACCTTTGACATTGATGCCAATGGCATCATGAATGTCTCTGCTGTAGACAAGAGCACCGGCAAGGAGAACAAGATCACCATCACCAATGACAAAGGTAACATAACTCTTGAGCCCCTGAGTGTCTTTTAATATTTAAAACCTAAATCCTAATCAATGGTCCCAACATTTCCAGGACGTCTAAGCAAGGAGGACATTGAGCGCATGGTCCAGGAAGCTGAGACGTACAAGGCTGAGGATGATGTCCAAAGAGAAAAGGTTGCTGCCAAGAACGGCCTTGAGTCGTATGCCTTCAACATGAAGTCCACAGTTGAAGATGAGAAACTGAAGGGCAAGATTAGTGATGAGGACAAGCAGAAGATCCTTGACAAGTGCAATGAGGTGATAAGCTGGCTGGACAAAAACCAGGTATGGTTCTCAACTTTTTTTTGTCTGAGATGTTGATTGTCTGAGATCTTCATGCATCTGTAGTACTCACTTCCACTTGTCATTTCTGTACCAGACAGCTGAGAAGGACGAGTTTGAGCATCAGCAGAAGGAACTAGAGAAGGTGTGCAACCCTATCATCACCAAACTGTACCAGAGCACTGGTGGGATGCCAGAAGGAATGCCTGGAGGCTTCCCAGGAGCTGGAGGTGCCCCTGGTGGAGGTGGATCCTCTGGACCAACCATTGAAGAAGTTGATTAAATCATTCATAAAGTTTCTCACTGTTTGAAGCACCTTACTGTGTTGTTTTGGAGCACTTTAATACGTATAAGTATGTTTTCTCTTTTGCATGCTTCTCAAAGATTTATTTCAGACCTGTTGTGAGTTGACATGTATCTCATTTGAGCATTTATTACCAGTTTGCTTTGTAGCTGTTTTGAGCAGCATGCTTTTGTTTTCGTGTTAAACTTATGCTAAAAATGCTGCATATGCATCACATTCTGGTTAATTCGAACACTGACAATAAAATATTTGCTGTTCACAAAGTGAATGCTGTGTGTTCTTGGTTCTTCCTTAAAATAAAATTTGAAATAAAGTCGACCTTGTACAGTTGTTGCAGTGTAAACTGATTACATACTCTCTACTGTTCAAAAGTTTAGGTCAGTAAGATTTTGATTTAAAAGAAATTAATTTTATTCAGCAAGTATCATTAAATTGATCAAAAGTGACAGAAAAGACTAAATATATATTTACGAAGGATTTATTTCAAATAATTGCTATTCAACTTCCTATTTATCAAAGAATCCTGAAAAAATGTGTCACAGCCCTTACGAAAAAGAAGTTTATTCAAGTGTGCTATTAGTATACTTCTTTTAAACTAAAAAAAATAGGAAAGTATACTTTTAGTCTACTTTTTATGTACTTCTCCGAAATGGGCTTTATGTACTTCTCAGAAATATACTTAAAATGACATTTAAGTATACTTGACTTATAGCCTACTTAGAAAAAGTCTAAATATATTTTAGCTATAATTGTGCTCCTAGAATCCGTGTTTTCATTGTTATACTGTAGGGGGCGCTAGTACACATTTTCTGTACAGAATTTTCAAAAAACACAAGTGAAGAAGAAACTGAAACAACAGATGCTTCCACATGTATTCTAACATGATCATCAGACATAAAACAGCATCAAAACTATGTAACATTATGGAATAAAATGTAGACCAATTAAGAGGTAATAATGACTGCCAAGCTTTGGGGTGTTGTTTAACTTTGTCTACGTTTTGATTATCATTCTGAATCCAATTCATAGTCTTTTTTTCAGCTTTTTGTTCAAAATGTTGTTTATTTCTTAATTTTTTTATTTATGAAACTTATCCACATTCAAGTGTTTAAAAAAAGAATGCATGAAGCTAGAATAAAAAATTTTTTTTACAAGCAGATACCCTGTTCTTTTGATGTTTTGTATGTTCAGATATTCATGTAACAAAATATATACAAATTAATACCTAAATAGTTTAATTTATGAAACTATCAGTATACCTATAAGTGCACTTTTAGTATAGTTGCAGTACAAACTAAACATTTTGATGTAAACTAGTTGTGTACTCAAAGTTTACTACTGTTATACTTAAAGTATACTTAAAAGTATACTTTTATATACTAGAAAGTGGGCCAATTTAGTCCCAAGGAGTATTGAAATAGTACACTTACAAGTATACTACTAGTACACTGATATTTGTATACTTGCTACATAAAGTATACTTAAACATATACTTGAACTTTACTTAAGTATACTTACTAAAATAAACTTGAAGTATACTACTTTTTGGTAAGGGAGTTCCTTATATATTATTGTAACATTGAAAATACTAAGAAATGCTTATTGCATATTAAAATGATTTCTTAAGGATCACATGACACTGAAGATATGATAATGGCTGCTGAAAATTCAACTTTGACGTAATAAATTCCATTTACAATGTATAAAAAACCCAATGTTTGAAATTATAAAAATACTTAACAATATTACTGTTTTATTGTATTTTTCATCAAATAAATGCAGCCTTAGCAAACATAAGAGACTAATTTCAAAAGCATTTAGAAAATCACACTGACCCAAGACTTTTGAGAGGTAGTTTTGGAAACCTCTTAAATGCAGATGAAATTCCACAAGAAATGTAATTATCCAAATTGCACCATAAAAGCAAGTTTTTCTAAATGTTGTTTTAGTCATTTATTAGTTTGTGTTGTGTGATTTTAAAATTAACGATAACTGAGGTCAAAAATAAAGGGATCAGGGATGACATGATGGTTCACATTCAGACTGAATGGATCAAATTGCAGATCTAAGATGAGAAGCATCAGCGTGACATGGAGCCTCTTGGTTCATACATCCGGTAAGCACACATATAGAAGATCCCTGCAAGAGAAAGGCAAGGAATGTTAACAACTACTACATTAGCAACAACTTTATTCATTACTGAAAGACACTGACCATGTTGACATGATTTAACATTTACATTTTGTTGGATTAATGCTTGTTTTTAAAAGAATATTCCAGGTTAAATGCTGTGGATTTTGCTAAGAACCACAAAAATATTGTTGACACTTACCTCAGTTTGTAAAAACGAACACTTACAATGAATGTCTATGGGCAACTGTTATAGGCTACACTTGCCCCATAGACTTCCATTTTAAATGCACATCTATACACACATTTTTTTTCCCTGTAGCAACCAACTGCATGTGCTTTCATTGACTTTGTGTTTGCGGAATATTCATTTCATGTTAACATAAAGTGTACCTGAAAAGAAAGTGAGCACCACAGAAACCCAACCCATTATGTACGACCACGAGAACCGCCAGTTCCCATAACGTTTTCCATAGTAGTTGACTGTCATCCCAGTGTAGACAGCCATAGCCAGCAGCACAAAGAAGCCTGGAAGGTACAACCACAAAATCCAACTCAGGTTAGCAGAAAACAATGACTTCACATACAGTCAGTATAGATATATAGGAATAATTCAACTTAGTAATGTTATTTTTAGTATCGGATGTATAGACATTCGTACATGAAATGAAATAGAGAATTCCTGCAGCAAAGGTTTTGTCAAAACCGTTAAAGGAGGAGTAATTGATGAAAGCCATGACACCGATGATGATGCCAAAGAAACAAGCCAAGACTGCCAGGATCATGAAGGCCCGGGTGGCATCCCAATATGCTGTCCAAATGGAACCAGAGATTAGTTGTGATTTTTGAACTTTGTACAATATTCTAATGTATATATTTTGTGTCCGTGCTGTGACGTCTAACCGATGCTGTCTGTGTATGTCATGCATTTTCCAGGTACACAGTAGCGCCACAGGCCCTGATGCATGTAACTGCTGGACTGGCGGTACTGTATCCAGTAATCGGTGGCAGTGGAGATCACCAGGAGTATATTTCCCACTCCTGCACAAAACAATCCACCTCCCATAAAGCTGTACATCTTGCACCTACAGACACACTGACAAAATATGAGTCAATACTAAAATTAATTCAAGGTATTTTTCAAACATATTTAAACAGTTTTTAAACATACTTTAATTTTAGATTTAAATGCTTTATTTATTTTTGATCTTTTATTTTTATATTTTCCGTTATAGCAATTTTTAGTGCTTTTGCCATTTTTATTAGTTTTATTATTTCAGTTTCTTTCAGTTTCAGTCCATTTCTAATTTTTATTAAGTTTTTTTTTTATTTATCATCTAACATTTATATTTTATTTCATCTTTATTTTAATTAATGGAAACAACTTTTAGTTTCAGCGAACAACAATGCTTATCAATTTTACCATCAAAAAAGGCAGAGCTTAAGTTAAATTGAAATTAAGTAAAATTACAATTAAATTCAAAATAAATCTTTAAAAAAAAGCTAAATTCAAAATGCATTGTTACAATCATTTGGTTCTTGTCTGGTCTTAGCTAAATCATTTCTAATGAAATTTTTATTTAAAAAAAATTTAATTTTAAATGTCTTATTTTCTTCTTGTATAAATAAAGAGTTTGTGAACACTATTTACACACAAATGGACAGCATTTAAATCCCATCACATCAGCTGTGACTAGACAAATGTGATTGATGGCCTAAAATCATCTTTTGTAGAGTGTGAAGGGATTTAAAAACTCAAGTCACAACAAGAAATCAACATGCAATATGAAAAAAAAAAAATAACCTACCTCTTTTTTCCCAAAAAATTGTATCAGACTGAATAGTGTGAAGCTCAATTATGCCAAGGCAGGCAGATTTACATGAGCTATTGGCCGTTACTTTTTGTGGGTGCACAGGAGCTGGGTGGAGAGCGGAGATGAACAAAAGAGCTGTCAGACGGGCAGCCAATCAGAGAGGCCACATGAGTGCAAGAGAATCTGCTGAAAATACAAAACTATTTAGCAGTAGTTTCACTAATACTGATGACAAAGTACTTTCAATTGACAATACAGAAACATCATAGCAAAATGACAAGCATTTTATTCGGGAAATTGTAAAAAAAAAACATTTCTAATTCTTGTTTTTCCATTATAATATTTTTTTTCTTCTTCTTTCTGTTAATTCAAGGACATATTACCATCATTTATATACTTTTTTATTTATTTTACAGCAAGAATATATGAAATATATGATTTAAAAAAATACAAAATGACATAAAACATGTTCAAAAATTTACTTTTTCCCCCCACCAAGGACTACACAGTTATTATTTATCCATTCGCTCTACTACATTTCTACTGCTGGGCCTTTATTTTAAGAGCTTCTTGTTAGTGGAGTATTAAACTCTCCTAAAAGGTTAAGAATCCATTAAGTGAACATTGTGTCTCCCCTGAAAGCTCCATGTCCACTTAGACTTTAGATGCCACCTAGAGCCTTCACATTAAAGTAATGCAGTAGACTGAAAATAGAAAGTAATGAACAGATAAAAATAGACCTCATCTGCCCACAGGAACGAATAAAACATCAATCCTCTGCAGGACATTGAACATAATAGCAGCTGGAACTTAGTAAATGTGCCATTTACACTCGAATGATTAAGATATTTTCCATGAGAGAAGGTGAAAGTTTGGTTATGTTTATCTTTGTATTTGTAAGAGGATTAGAGAGCCGATATGATAAAGTGGTGCTATTACAGCCAAAAGCAGCTTTTGGGGTTAAAAGGTTTCTAGTTTCTACTGGATGTGTACATTTTACAACCAGCAGAGGGTGACTTTTTACCAAAAATAGGATAAAACAGGGAGACCGCAGCACTTTAAACTCTTTTCTACCTATGTAGAGTGGCAGAGGGAATAAGAGGATATCCGATCTGTGTTGATATGTGGGGTTTCCCGCCTCTCTTTTCAACAGCATGTCTGCTCTGGTAAGTGATAGTAGTGCTTGTAATTCTCTAAATACTCACCCACCATACCGACATTCTCCTGATAGTGTCTCTGTAAGGAATACTTCTGTGTTTTCTGTCTTCAAGCAATTCTGTCCTGCAATATTTACATATCAAACATGCTTTGGCTCAGTCAGGTATGCAAAAGTTATGGCGCAAGTTCCACCGCTGCCCACACCGTATTCATAAAGCATACTGCTTACATACTTAATAGTTCTACAGCATTACTTAGATTTATAGGATGCAGCAGAGATTACATAGGTCAAAGCCTGGCAACTTGTTAACATTTTAGCACTTCCGGTTCCACAGTCCCAAAGTCAATGGGGTTTTTGTTTAAATGCATGCAATAAGGTCTGTGGCTATACACAAGCTCAGTATTTTTAAGTTTCTAAGTATTCTACGACATAAAAAACATCAGTACTACCATTTTTTTTTAAAGCTTTACTTGTCTTGAAAAAGGCGGTGGGACAGATGTCTGGGACATTAAACATCATCACACCGAACAAGTAAACTTAAAAGTCTGCTTTTACAGCCTTTTTGTGTTTCGAATCACGCCCTTGCAACATATCCCTGCAAACAAGCATGCACTAGCCCTTTACGGGCCCACTTAGGGCTAGCCTTAGGGCCCCCAGCGGACTGCCAGCACAGGGCCCCTGAGAATTTGCTCATTGGCAAAACGTTGGCCCCTTAGTTCTGGCCCTGCACGGGCAGCCCTCACTTAGCCCCCAGGAAGCCCTCACTATGCCCACACAGCGCCCGCACTATTCATCTACAACAATACATCTGTTTCACTTTAAATACTTTCCAGCTACTATAACTT